CTTGTCCTCACACTTTCGCGTGTCCTTAACCTAGACATATTTATTCTGCTTGTCTTCCTTGTTCTCTGTCGACATGACCCCTATACGCGCATATGCTTGGCCATCTCTGTGTTTGTCTTAAAGCATTTTTAGACCAGTCACCAGGTCGATCTGCCTGCTCCACTAGCCGGAGGCGTCTGTGGCCTTCTTTCCATCAGCCGGCACGACAGCAATTATTTCGGCTTTCTTTTCTTGGTCACCACTACATCTGGGTGACAACCCCCAGGTCCTGTGCAAGCACTCGCTTATATACATATATTTACATATGTGTTCATATATATTCGTAGATATTTGTGAGTAGACAATGATACTTTTCAGGATTTTTATCCTTATTAATCCCTCCAGATTACAATAGTTCGACCATTATTTACTAGTAGCCTACTTAATGAGTCTAAAAAGAATATATATTGTGCCAAAAATAACTAACTACTCGCTATATGAAATAATAACTTCGTATACATAACATCTATGTAAATTATGTATATATATGAACCTTTATTTAGGTTTTTAAGCCTCATCTTTTGCCATCCTTCTACAAATCCGGACGCTGGTGGATCTGTCTGAGGTTACGTCATGCATTTGCTTATTTGCTCTCGCTATATAGTCTAGATTAGATGAGCTGCGTTAATTTGCGCAGTATTTAAACAAATCCTTTTCATTCAAATTCATCAATCAACAAAATTGAATAAAAATGTTCTGGCCTCGTTTTCGCAACTTCTGACTTGTTTATATACCACTCCTCTTTAGGTGTATTCTTTTTGGTGAGTCTAGTTTGACATAACTCATGCTGTTTATCCTCCCCTCCCCTCTGTTGATGGGACTTGGCCCTCCTATCCTGATCTCCCTCATTGACTCGTTGATCCGTTTCTTATTTTTATACTTGACTAATTTCACTCGGTTCCAGTCGAAGTATGCGTTTACTTTAGTATCACACACACTGTCTCCTCACTGAGCAGAGTGTCTATGCTCTGATTTTCATGTTTTCAGATATCAGGCATTATCTCCGACGGTCATCTCCCTTATTTAACCCGTGTACCCTGAGCAATCTGTGTACGCCTATCTCTGCTCGCCTGTTGCTTCTCGAGTGGATTTCTGGTCAATTAGGCCATAATGCCGAATTTTTATGATGGTTGTTAATATCCGTGACCGCCATACCCCAAAACGTTTAGTTCTTTGTTTTAGTAGACTACACTCACCCAGAGCGTCTTTGCTTGATGTCCTAACGTTCCTCACCTGCTTCCATGCGATCGCTTCTCCCTTTTCAGTAACAGGCCCTTGATTCACACGTTTCCTTTTTACTGGGCTTTCCATACCCTTGCTATCTCCGGATTTGCTTAAGCAATAAGCAAACTTATCGTTAATTGCCCTTAAATCTCCTGTTCATTAAATTCTTGACGAGGTGCGTCCAACTTGGTCTCGCTGATAACACGATCAAATTTCGATAACGAGGTCAGGCAACATCTGTACATCGAAAAGAGATTATGGCCAAAATAGAGACCACAATATCCTGTTCTTCATATCATGGGGGCTTAGTTAATAATGTTTACGCAACAACGGTAACTTTGCAGCAATCGCCATATCTCAGTTAACAATGTAGGAGTATCGTTATCATTGCATAAAAATAGAGTCGGGTCTTATTTTTAATATGGGTGTGGATTGCGCGAGGCTCTGACTAACATACGTACTAAATTAATTTTGCGCTGATTTCAGCTTCTCTAGGCGTTAACATTTTTCTCTATGAACCAACGAGACCAAGTTTATATCTTACTTTTAACCCGACCAAATGTCGGGCCTTCATTCCAAAGGATTATTCTTAATTTATTTTCTTGCTCTTGGTTACTATATTTGTTATTCATGAATTACTCGGCTTATTTGGATCAGTTAAGCATAAGGGTTGTACCTTGAGGCTTGTAAGAGATATCAACTAAATTTGTTAAGCTAAATAAATAAATATACATACATGAAATTGGGGCTTAGTTAATAATTAGATAAAACTGTTCATTTTACCATTTTTTTTAATTTAATCAAGCTCAGAGCCCTCTGCTTTGGCCTCAGGATCTCTTTCTCACTGGTCAGAAGAAGCCCGATTGGAAGGCCATTCGGATTGGGTACGAGACGTTGCCTGGGCCCCTAATCTCATTCCTGCCCGTCAACAATTAGCCAGCTGTGGTCAGGATGGCCGAGTAATTGTTTGGCAACACCAGCACCATCCACTACAGCAGAGCACGCAACGACTAACTAGCAAATCATCTTCGAACGCAACACTTAGCCTATCGGCTCTTTCTGCCGCTTGGAGACCGATAGTCTTACATACTTACGAAGATGTCGTATGGCATGTCTCTTGGTCTCTGACTGGAAACGTGCTTGCTGTCTCAGGCGGAGACAATAAGGTCTGAATAGCTAATCTCATTATTTTACTTAAGTATTGCATTCTATAAACAAATAAGTACTTCTTTTCATTTTGTTGATGCTAATTCAATCTTGCAATAAAATAAGGAATTTACTCTACTTCCTAAGGATGCAATTTTTCCTTGGTCTGACTTTGCTGAGTCTCTTTCGGCTGTGGCGGTTAAAGCATTATGCTTTAACTATGAAATTTTGTGGCTATGAGGAAAAACTGGGTCGTGAAATTTCGTTTCCACAGTGTGACCATTCACTGTATTATTCTAAATCTAGATTTAACTGCCATACCATAAAAGTCGGATTTACCCAACGTTACTATTTCCGGTAGGAGAACTAAATTAAGGGAATTATAAAATTAGATACATGTTTAGAGGTTGTTTGACCTTGTTTTCGCTACTTGATCATATTGGTAAGAAGACTTAGAGGAACACACCTAGTCCGAAGTCCATTATATGCATGATAATATCCAAAGTCGGACCGTGGACGTGGTACATTCCAAGAAATCGTAGTCGGCATCGTCAGTGAGTCTTGCCAGTCTTAGAAGCACACTACAACTCGTCAAAAAGACAGGTGAAGTCGATCCTTTGACCAAACGTGCACTAAACAGTTATGGTATCTCTCTGCCCTTGGCTATTCACATTTCCTATATCCTCGTATTACGCCTTGACTGTTACAATTTTTACCGTGCTTATTTAGAGCTATTTAGAGCGGCGTTCATGAGAAGTCTCAAGATTGAACACAGGCGTTATCACCCCCCATTCACCCTTGTGCTGGGAATGTTGATCCTAGTTTGCCATATTGATACACAGTCCTACTTCCATAGGTCTTGTCAGTCTCCCTCTTGTACTATAGAATCCGTCTGCTAACGCCCTGGTTCAAGTATTTTACTTGACCTTT